CGTGATGTAAAAATGCTTTCAGTGTAAACTTAAACCTCTTAAACCAAAAAGTATGTGTAAATGATAATGGACCTATAATATTATCTTTGACAACTAACAATTACTTAAATAAAAGCTAGACAGGGAGAATTAGAGAATTCCAAAAGCAGTATTAATTTGATTGTTTGAGCAAAAGTACACCGCATTAGCCATGGCAAAATGCATAGGATGACAGGAAACTAGCTTCAAAACTGCACAATTTTATCTCAGCTCCATGGCAGAATATGTAGAATTGTAGAAAATTCTCTACACAGCCAAAAATGGGGTCCTCTAAAATGTAGACGTGCCGACTACGCCCCCTGCCAGGCCCACCACCTAAGCCCCTTTTTGATCCAGAAAAAAACGTCTTGCCCGTTTGAAGCTTAGATGCAAAGTGTTGTAACGTGGCCTTTTCTTATGATGAAGCAGTAATCCTCTAGCCTAGATTTTCACCAATTGTCAGACGAGCAGGTTGTGAAGAATTGAATAGTGTTCCAAGACCTTTTCAGAACATCCTATTACTGTACCGTCTTCTGTTGTTTTTTGATAGGCAGTGTTTATTTAACTGGCTGCCTGTTTCGTCGAGATAAGTATATTTTGCCGCCAGATGCCTCAAGTTACTTCAGCAGTAACCTTTTATAGAAAAGCAGTCAATGGCTGTAAAATTGCCAGAACCTTTAAGATGGCACGTAAAATGCACCTAAAATGGCCCCTAAAATGTGCTATTTCAGCAAAATTGGATATAAAATGAGTTGAACTTTTGGTTTCCCTCTGTGGGATGATTGACACTGATGTTTTGGCCCAAAGCCTTTTGGTGTCAATGGGTTAGGTAATGGCCAGGTTATTCTTGGATTCTGTGCAGGCAGTGTGAATTTTTACATTACATTCCTTACACAGTACATCAACCCTCAGGCCCCCGGTATGTGTAGAGAATGTAGATCAATGTATGATACAAGGGGGAAGAGAAGTGTTTCTAATTTCAAATCAGTTTTTCATTGAAATGATTAGCCAAAAAATTTGACCATTATGTTACTCAGAATATAACATAGACATTTTGTGTTGTTTCTCACAAGTGATCCAGTCTTGCTAGTAGACTGCCAGGGATATTTGATATAAGTAGCTTCACAAACTAGCCTCGTCTTTGCGGAACATTTCCATCTAGGCTAAAGTTGTTTTGTTTGCTGGCGGGAACAAGGAGTGACCTTAGTGCTCTGGGTTGACTTTTTCCCCTTGACACGAGACAAGGAACTGATTGAGCTTTAGTGAGAGCTGTCCTCTCTCCCACTTAGTATGCACTTTTGTTACCTCTCCAGGTGAAGGCCTTCGATTGGCTGTCACTGGCAATGTGTCTTTATAAGAATGGAATACACAATTTCTGCTCAATCCATCACATAATACTACCCCCCCCCACACACACACTTTGGATGAAACCGAATCCCCATTTGTTACACAATATCCCATATTTTGTGTTATCTGAAACTTAAATGTAATTTGCTAAATTGACAAAGAACGCACGTTGGAATTTTTTGTATCATGCGCTCTGTGATACAAGGTAGGTTTATTAACCGCGACTGGTCCGGGTTTTGTGCTGGTCAGCCAACCCTGGGGCCTCCATTTATAAACGTTGCGTACGTACAAAATATACCCCAAAACGTGCGCCATTTTTCACGCAAAAGTTGTCATTTATCAAAACTGAACTTGAGGTGAGAATGTGCTTAGCTTCCCATAAACTTTAGACTATGTGTTCGCACAGTTTCTATTGGTTGAAGTATTGCATTGCAAGTATCTTAGTATTTTGAGAAAATGGGGGATATCATGACAAGCTTATTTATAACAAAAGAATGGTAAATATAATACAATCATTTGCCTTTAGTGAGAAGAGCAAAGATTTTCGGGGGGTATTTTTGCGTTCTAAAATAGTTAGAAATAGGCATCTTTCCTATTTCCTTTCCATGATCATTGCAGAATAAAGTCCTCACCTTTTCTGACTGATGGGTTTCATACTCGCAAAGTAGTCTATACATTTACATTTTAGTCATTTAGCAGACGCTCTTATCCAAAGCGACTTAGTTAGTGCATACATTTTCATACTGGCCCCCCTGTGGGAAACGAACCCACAACCCTGGCGTTTCAAGCGCCATGCTCTACCAACTGAGCTACATCTCTCATTTAATTGGACCCACTTTACAGTAAATATAAACCATTTAAAATGTGTTGATATATCCGATCCGGAGCGCAGTTTAACAGTAGAACAGACGGTTCACCTTTTTCATTTGTTTTTTAGGCTACTGTATATGCCTCTGAATAGCGTGCTGTAATTTCTAATGTCTCAAGTAAACAATATTTTATTAATAAACATAATACATTCATAACCATTACAGAATAAATTCCTCACCACCTTTTCTGGCCATGATGGGTTCATATTCCCGATGAAGCTTTAACGTATGGTAATTTCTTGCAAGCATCTCATTTAATTGGGCCTATTGTAGGGTATTACACTAAACAAATATCTGGTCCTCTGTAGCTCAGCTGGTAGAGCACGGCGCTTGTAACGCCAAGGTAGTGGGTTCGATCCCCGGGACCACCCATACACAAAAAAATTAATAATGTATGCACGCATGACTGTAAGTCGCTTTGGATAAAAGCGTCTGCTAAATGGCATATTATTATTATATAAATGCAACAATTTCAAAATATTTTACTGAGTTAGTTTAATAAGGAAATCAGTAAATGTAAATAAGTTCCTAATCTATGGATTTCACATGAATGGGAGACAGATATTGGTCACAGATACCTTTTAAATTTTTTTAAAAAAAGTTGGCGGTAGATCAGAAAACCAGTCAGTGTCTGGTGTGACCACCATTTGCCTCATGCAGCATAGAGTTGATCAGGCTATTGATTGTGGCCTGTGGAGTGCTGTCTCACTCCTCTTCAATGGCTGTGCGAAGTTGCTGGATATTGGCAGGAACTGGAACACGCTGTCATACACTTTGATCCAGAGCGTCCCAAACATGTTCAATGGGTGACATGTCTGGTGAGTATGTAGGCCATGGAAGAACTGGGACATTTTCAGCTTCCGGGAATTGTGTACAGATCCTTGCGACATGGGGCCGTGCATTATCATGCTCAAACATGAGGTGATGGTGGCAGATGAATGGCACGACAATGGGCCTCCAGGATCTTGTCACGATATCTCTGTGCATTCAAATTGCCGTTGATGAAATGCAATTGTGTTCGTTATTCGAAGCTGATGCCTGCCCATACCATAACCCCACCGCCACCATGGGGCACTCTGTTCACAACATCAGCAAACTGCTCGCCCACATGATGCCATCTGAACGGTACAGTTGAAACCAGGATTCATCCGTGAAGAGCACACTTCTCCAGCGTGCCAGTGGGCATCAAAGGTGAACATTTGCCCACCGAAGTCGGTTATGACGCCGAGCTACAGTCAGGTCAAATCCCTGGTGAGGACAACGAGCACGCAGATTACCTGAGACGGTTTCTGACAGTTTGTGCAGGAACTCTTCGGTTGTGCAAACCCACAGTTTCATCAGCTGTCCGGGTGGCTAGTCTCAGACAATCCCGCATGTGAAGAAGCCGGATGTGGAGGTCCTAGGCTGGCGTGGTTACACGTGGTCTGCGGTTGTGCAGCCGGTTGGACGTATTGACAAATTCTCTAAAACGATGTTGGAGGCGGCTAATGGTAAATAAATTAACATTCAATTCTCTGGCAAAAGCTCTGGTGGACATTCCTGTAGTCAGCATGCCAAATGCACGCTCCCTCAATTTGAGACATCTGTGGCATTGTGTTGTGAGACATCTGCACATTTTAAGGTGGCCTTTTAATGTCCCCAGCACAAGGTGCACCTGTGTAATGATCATGCTGTTTAATCAGCTTCTTGATATGCCACACCTGTCAGGTGGTTGGATTATCTTGGCAAAGGAGAAATGCTCACTTACATGGATGTAAACAAATTTGAGAGAAATAAGCTTTTTGTGCGTATGGAACAAGTATTTTGCTCTATGAATCCGAAAGGGAGCACGGTTTATAATATACAGTAGATTTAAACAGATGAACAGAGTTGATCATTTTGCTTTGAAGTGTGTAGGCTACCACTAAGTAGCCCTACTGTAGTAAAAAAAAAAAAAATTGAGTAGACAATGTTTCACAATTTGTGGGCAGTGCAGCATATTTAGATTTGGGTAAAAGTAAACGCAAAACATTACTACATTCAAACGATCTGTTTATAGGTCCACAACAATTTGCAGAAACGTTCAGAATCTCACAAAGTTTTAAACATTCTCTTAACACCTCCAGAGACATTTAATCAAGTTCGTCATTGCTATTTCCTTTAAAAACAGCCTAATTCCAATTCTTCCAAAGTATACAGCATATAAGGGCATTATTGTCACCATAAAATGTGAATTTTTGGCATTTTTTTGCTCGTTTTAATGTACGTTCACGCACACAGTTTCAGGACGGGTCTGATTTATAACGGGAAATATGCGTATGTATGGTGTGCGGCAAGTTTATAAATCTCAATATTTTTGTACGTGAGCAATATTTTCAGAAATTGCTTATATATTTAGTATAAAATGTACGCAATGGTTATAAATGAGGCCCCTGGTGCCATGGATATTTAAGTAATGCTGACTCCCCAGTTTGAACAGAACAGATGGGGCACTAGCTAGCGAGATCGTAACCACAGCCAAATATGACTCCAAAATGTAATGGATGGTGTGGCCCTCAGTCCTGTGGGCTAGTCACACTGGATGGCCTGGTATCACTGTGTACAGAGCTGACCTGCATTCTTGCTAGGTCTCATGTGTCTAGTCATTGCACTGTGAAAGATCCCATGTACACAAATGTCCCAGTAGTCAAGCGTTGGGAGCCACCCCAGACGATGTCCTGTCCTGCTGAGCGCTGATCCGGTGCCATCACTGCGTGTGGAAATGAGTGGTTGTTGGATCTTAGCACCATGTCCCAGGCCCTGGGCCCACTCGGGGAGCTGCCCTCTGGCCTCATCACAGATGAGTCCTGGAAAGTTCAGGGTGATCCTCATAACAGCATCTGTTCTTACTCTCGTGTCACAGGTTTAGTTAATGTCACATAGTTGGATGGTATTATGTGGGTAATTTGATTTGACTTGCGCTGATATTTCAAGTTAGAGTTGGCTGGTGCTCTGTCTGTCACATGTTGAATAGTTTTCCCTTGCTCCTACCTACAACTGGAACTCCCAACTGTTTACCTTTTTTTGGAGGCATTGGGTGATTTCTCAAAGTAAATAAAGATGATGTAGACTCTCAAGTTCCAATTTCAGCTGATTGTAGAAGCTTCATAGAAATTCTCACCTTCACTTTCCAGCTGACTTTTTTTTAAAGGAATTTATGATTGCTCAATTCCTCTGCAGACAGCTGTTGCAAACTAGCCTAATGTCCTGTAGAATGTTGATTTAGTGTTACACAGATCTTCCCAAGGATTGGAAATATGGTGCTACGTCACTGACATTTCTAAAACACATTTCCATGTGGAAACTGAGCCTCATCTGCAGTCAATCATAATTTTTGCTGTTTTAATGTGGTTTGATACATTTAGCAATTTTATATAGCCTAACTTGATTTCCGTTTAAAAACATGTTTATTTCAAAGACATGTGCCAAGATTCAAAAACTCTTTGGAGACTCCTTTGACGTGATTCAAAGCCAACACAACGATCCTCATTGATTTTTGTGAGCATTGATGTTACATTAAATGTAGTGTTTATAGTAGTGCAAGTTGTCTCCCTGGAGAGGTAATGAGGGAAACACATCACTGCACTGTTGAGATTATCTATAGGCATGTTGATTTGGTGCAAAATGCACAGTGAAAATTGAGGCCTGCAGTGTTTTAGGAGTAGCCCTCCTAACGACCCCGTGACATTTTAGTCCTAGGATAGTCTGGTTACCGGCAGGTCCTGTGGATGGTCTGGTTACCGGCAGGTCCTGTGGATGGTCTGGTTACCGGCAGGTCCTGTGGATGGTCTGGTTACCGGCAGGTCCTGTGGATGGTCTGGTTACCGGCAGGTCCTGTGGATGGTCTGGTTACCGGCAGGTCCTGTGGATGGTCTGGTTACCGGCAGGTCCTGTGGATGGTCTGGTTACCGGCAGGTCCTGTGGATGGTCTGGTTACCGGCAGGTCCTGTGGATGGTCTGGTTACCGGCAGGTCCTGTGGATGGTCTGGTTACCGGCAGGTCCTGTGGATGGTCTGGTTACCGGCAGGTCCTGTGGATGGTCTGGTTACCGGCAGGTCCTGTGGATGGTCTGGTTACCGGCAGGTCCTGTGGATAGTCTGGTTACCGGCAGGTCCTGTGGATGGTCTGGTTACCGGCAGGTCCTGTGGATGGTCTGGTTACCGGCAGGTCCTGTGGATGGTCTGGTTACCGGCAGGTCCTGTGGATGGTCTGGTTACCGGCAGGTCCTGTGGATGGGGATTAGAACTCGCTATTCTTGTCTATTCTATTGCAGGACTGTAATCCAACTAGAATCTAGGGCTAACTTTAAAAGGGGAAGGCACCGGTGAAAACATTGTGCTGTGTCTTTGCTTTGGCACGGTCTGTATATGTAATCTGCCATATCTCTTCGCATGCAGATAACCTGAGACTGTTGATATTTTGCCAACTAGTCTGCACATCAAGAACTTCCCAGTGTCCAAACCACTCATTAAACTGCCAACAACAGGTGAATGTTGAAGGATCACCATCCCTCAATCAATAAGTATTCAACCCCTTTATGGCAAGCGTAAAATAAATTCTGAAGTAAAAATGTGTTCAAGTCACAAGTTTCATGGACTCACTCTGTGCAACAATAGTGTTTTTAACATGAATTTTGAATAACTACCTCATCTCTGTACACCACAGATACAATTATCTGTAAGGTCCATCATATGAGCAGTGAATTTCAAACAAAGACCAGGGAGGTTTTCCAATGCCTCGCAAAGGGCACCTATTGATAGATGGGTATAAAAAAAAACGGACATTTTAATATCCCTTTGAGCATGGTGATGTTATTTACATTTTGGATGGTGTATCAATACACCCAGTCACTACAAAGATACATGCATGCTTCCTAACTCAGTTGCCGGAGAGGAAGGAGAAAAACTCAGGGATTTCACCGAGGCCAATGGTGAATTTAACACAGTTACAAAGTTTAATGGCTGTGATAGGAAAGAACTGAGGATGGATCAACAACATTGTAGTTACTCCACAATACTAACCTAATTGACAGAGGGAAAAGAAGGAAGCCTGTACAGAATACAAATATTCTAAAACATGCATTCTGTTTGCAATAAGGCACTAAAGTAAAACTGCAAAAAATGTGGCAAAGAAATTAACTTTATGTCCTGAATACAAAGCGTTATGTTTGTGTCAAATTCAACAAGCATGGTGGTGGCTGCATCATGTTATGGGTTTGCTTGTCATCGGCAAGGACTACAAAGTTCTTTAGGATAAAAATAAACGGAATAGAGCTAAGCACAGGTAAAATCCTGTAGGAAAACCTGGTGGTCTGCTTTTCAACAGACACTGGGATACAAATTCACCTTTCAACAGGACAATAGCCTAAAACACAAGGCCAAATATTCACTGGAGTTGTTTACCAAGACAACATTGAATGTTCCTGAGTGGTCTAGTTACAGTTTTGACTTAAATTGGCTTGAAAATCAATGGCAGGACTTGAAAATGGCTGTCTAGCAATGATCAACAACCAACTTGACAGAGGTTAAAACATTTTTTAAAGAATAATGTGCAATTATTGTACAGTCCAGGTGTGCAAAGCTCATAGCGACTTACCCAGAAAGACTTGCAGCTGTAATCGCTTTCAAAGGTGATTATAATATGTATTGACTCTGTGTTTTAGTACTTACAGTTGAAGTCGGAAGTTTACATGCGCTTAGGTTGGAGTCATTAAAACTAGTTTTTCAACCACTCCACACATTTCTTGTTAACAAACTATAGTTTGGGCAAGTCTGTTAGGACATCTACTTTGTGCATGACACAAGTAATTTTTTCCGCTATTGTTTACAGACAGATTATTTCACTTATAAGTCACTGTATCACATTTCCAGTGGGAAGTTTACATACACTAAGTTGCCTGTGCCTTTAAACAGCGTGGAAAATTCCAGAAAATGATGTCGTGGTTTAGAAGCTTCTGATAGGCTAATTGACATAATTTGAGTCGATTGGCTGTGTACCTGTGGATGTATTTCAAGGCCTACCTTCAAACTCAGTGCCGCTTTGCTTGACATCATGGGAAAATGAAAATAAATCAGCCAAGACCTCAGAAAATAAATTCTAGACCTCCACATGTCTGGTTCATCCTTGGGAGCAATTTCCAAATGCCTGAAGGTACCACGTTCATCTGTACAAACAATAGTACGCAAGTATAAACACCATGGGACCACACAGCCGTCATACCGCTCAGGAAGGAGACTCATTCTGTCTCCTAGAGATGAACGTACTTTGGTGCGAAAAGTGCAAATCAATCCCAGAACAACAGTAAAGGACCTTGTGAAGATCCTGGAGGAAACAGGTACAAAAGTATCTATATCCACAGTAAAACAAGTCCTATATCGACATAACCTGAAAGGCCGCTCAGCAAGGAAGAAGCCACTGCTCCAGAACCGCCATAAAAAAGCCAGACTACGGTTTGCAACTGCACATGGGGACAAAGATCATACTTTTTGGAGAAATGTCCTCTGGTCTGATGAAACAGAAATAGAACTGTTTGGCCATAATGACCATCGTTATGTTTGGAGGAAAAAGGGGGTTGCTTGCAAGCCGAAGAACACCATCCCAACCGTGAAGCACGGGGGTGGCAGCATCATGCTGTGTGGGTGCTTTGTTGCAGGAGGGACTGGTCCACTTCACAAAATAGATGGCATCATGAGGAAGGAAAATTATGTGGATATATTTAAGCAACATCTCAAGACATCAGTCAGGAAGTTAAAGCTTGGTCGCAAATGGGTCTTCCAAATGGACAATGACCCCAAGCATACTTCCAAAGTTGTGGCAAAATGGCTTAAGGACAACAAAGTCAAGGTATTGGAGTTGCCATCACAAAGCCCTGACCTCAAACCTATAGAAAATGTGTGGGCAGAACTGAAAAAGCGTGTGCGAGCAAGGAGGCCTTCAAACCTGACTCAGTTACACCAGCTCTGTCAGGAGGAATGGACCAAAAGTCACCCAACGTATTGTGGGAAGCTTGTGGAAGGCTACCCAAAACGTTTGACCCAAGTTAAACAATTTAAAGGTAATGCTACCAAATACTAATTGAGTATATGTAAACTTCTGACCCACTGGGAATGTGATGAAAGAAATAAAAGCTGAAATAAATCATTCTCTCTACTATTATTCTGACATTTCACATTCTTAAAATAAAGTGGTGATCCTAACTGACCTAAGACAGGTAATTTTTACTAGGATTAAATGTCAGGAATTGTTTTAAAACTGAGTTGAAATGTATTTGGCTAAGGTGTATGTAAACTTCCGACTTCAACTGTATATAATCAATCAATTATTGTTTTATACATACATTTATTCACATTTCAGAGTATTTTGTGTAGATCCTTGAAGAATTTAAAATAGTAATGTGGAAATATTGTACAATCCAGGTGTGCAAAGCTCTTAGACTTTTCACTTTGTCATTATGTGGTATTGCGTGTAGATGGGTGAGGAAAAACATCAATTTAATCCAGTTTAAATTCAAGCTGTAACACAACAAAATGTGGAATCAGTCAAGGGGTATGAATACTTTCTGAACGCACTGTAAGTCTTCCACAACCAACTAACAATTCCCTCTAACAATTCATTATTTTATCAAAATAGTTTTACCTGCTTTTTTGCAATCACTGATCTGGCTTTCAAAGTAAGTCTATTAAAAATGCATTTATGTTTTTACAAATTTCACCAGAACCATGCATAATGCACATTCACAAATAATTGCTAACTTCTTGTAGCAGACATTATAAAAAATGTACACGTCTCATAAACAATCTGTCAAGGACAAGCCCACGTGCTAGTGAGTAGCCAGCTAATCTTTATATTTCAAGTTTAGCCAATTTGGATCTATTTGCTAGCTAATAAGGCAAAACAGTTGAATTATTATGAACACACCCTTCTCCAACTGTTTGAACAGCATGTTAGCCTGTCCACCTTTTTCAGATGTTGAAATCAAGTGGCCTATCTTATTTCTCAGAATGAGAACGAGTTTATAAAACAGACTAGACAGTAAACGTTTTTTGGTTAAAATGCTGCTTGCGGGATGTGGGCGCGCGACAAACTGCGAGCATTAATTTTCCAGAATTAAATGTTCATTGATAATCCTGTTTTAGTAGTGTCTGCTCTGTGCGCAATTTGAACAGTTGAGACATATAAAAAGGGTATCGTTAGCCTTTCTAACTTCTCTATTACAGTAAAATAATGTCTCAATGTGTTTGTGTCCGTATGACCAATTATTTTGGATCAAACCTGCAACGCAAATAGCGAGTTGAAACCACTTGTCATCTTTGTTGTTTTGAGTGACGGGGAGGGGCTTGGTGTGTGTGTGTGTCTCGCCATGTGTCCAAAATAAGCCCAATGTGTTTCTATGGTCTTATTTTGGACCTAAGCTTGTCGCCTGCCTTCCCGCCTTTAGGAAAACGACTCCCATTGTTAGGGCGGAGACGTGAGCATCTCGTCATTTATATACAGATCACTGGTTTAAATAGGAAGGTGCACACAGCACAGAGGGCGCGAAGGAGACGAGTTCAAAAAGACATGAGAACAAGCGGACATAAACGCTCATATAAAACATCAAACTTGATTCTTGCGATACAGGCATTTGGAATATCGCGCATAAACATACGTTTGAATGAATCTAATTAATTAGATATATCGCCCAGCCCTACCCCAACTCTCTGTTCTAGCTTTGTCTTCGTCATGCAAAGGTACGCCCCAGAGAGTAATCTTGGGCCTAGACTCGTTGAGATTTCTCTTATTTGCGTGACACCAGCTGGTGGCCGTTCTCCAGTGTTGTGAACGTCCATGGCCTGGTCAGGAGCCACACTCTGTCCTAAGGTTAGCTCTGGAACATTCTTGGCTCTAGTCCCAGAGAATAGTGACATGTCAGCAGCCCATTCAAATGAACAGGGTGAGTGTTGCACTCTGTCAGTGGATGGGGGAGCTAAATTCGGTACTCTGTTTTACGTTGCAGCGGTGGGGTTAACAGAACGTGCATGCTCCATTAAAGGGCAGGTCTGGCTGGCTGGTTGGTTCAGACTGAGCACAGGTCTAGGTAAAACTAGATCTCAGGAAATAGTATCTCTAGACAGACTGGTTGCCTCCCACAATGCACCAATATTCCAGGTTACATGTCTGTAGAAGTTCCGGCGTCAGTTGGAAATGGGATGCACGTCACCAGTGACTTTACTGCTGTATCCACTTGTTGCCCTAGCTAAACATGAGCACAATTCCCGTCTGCATTTTAAGCCCTATATACCCAAACTCATGATTTGTTGGGAGAGTTGCTGTCTGAAGAAGACCCTCCCTGGATAAAAAAAACATGTCCCCTTTCCAAATGTCCTAGAGAATCTGACATCCTCCCCAGACCTAGTGCTCTGGCTCCAAGTTCTGGGTTTTAGACTAGCCAGTAAAGGCAAGAGTTGTATTTTTACGCGTTTTGATTGACGCACAACCACACAAACTTGACAGAGAAAAGAAAGGTAAATTAACGATGTAATGGAATGATGCAAAATGTAAGGAAACTAAGGATAAAGTTATAAATGTATGTTGGTGTAACTGACGGTCGACCTTATTCATTGTGTGTAAAGGTGGTGGAATTATGAGGGGAATTAAGTCAAGGTCAGAATACGGTGTATCTGTAGACACCTCCGCCACACATTCATTTCTTTGATCTCCACCCCAAACGAATAGCGGGTGAAAAGCATGCTAATCTCATGCTTAAGTTTAAGGTCAGAATACGCGTGGAGAAAAAGGTACATAAAAAGGGAATTGTGTTCCGTTTATGTGCACTTAACTGTGGTCGGAATCAGCCCTATAATACGGATGTGGCAATGGGGGAATCTGAACACACAGATGACCGTTGTGTGTCAAGAAAATGAAGAAGAAATTCATAGAACTACAACCTGTATTTCACAGTGAGTAATGGGAAAGTCCACAGACCAGGGGCTACCCTGTTCAAGAAGTGCCATGTCCACAGCTACCAGTGTGAGTGAGTTCTGTGGCTCAGTGTTAGTCGTTGGATGTTCTGCAGTGCCACCATCCCCTCAATGGCAGCATCACCCTACTCTTTCCAAAGGCCCCTCTGTGCTCCAGGCAGGCTGGCCTCTTCCTGGTTCTCATGTGATCTCCAGAAGTGTCAATGAGGAAGGAAACCAGAGGGACTTCCTCTATTGCTTGTCAGAGTTGTCAGGCATATTCCCTCAGAATATAGTTCCTTTATTCAGTCCATTTATGTCTGGTGATGGGCAGGCTAGGCTATCTTACTGAGGCTTGGCCATGATTAGTGGAAAACATTTTGTGCTTTGTCTCCTATCAAGCAAATCATGTTATGCTCCTGTATAGTATCCTATCATACAACCAATGGTTTCCTCAGTAGTGGTATGTTTATGGCTAGGTCTGCTTGACTTGATAGAGTAAGCTATACGCTGACGTGCCCAGCGGTCTGCTGTGCTGCAGACCGTTGCTTCTTTAGCAGTGTAACCCATTGTGTAATAGGTTTAAAGGTTTACTTTAGGTGAAAGGGGACACTTGTTTTGAGTTCAACACCAGCGTCTGTTCTTAAACCATCTTCTTTTTCTCCCACACATTCGGACACGGTCAGGCTTGTAGATTAAATGGATGATTACACTGTGATGGCGTTCCAGAACCTCACGTGCTATGGATAGAAGTTTGTGTAGAAGTTGTTGTTTACCAAAGTTATTTTGCTCACAACTAACTTTTTTGTTAGGCTTTTGATGAGGTAATTCACATGGCTATTCACACAACTGATTTCAGTTTCTCTAGTCTACCTATGTCATTATGCAAATCATATGATTGGCTGTGCTGTTGAGTACATTGTGATCAGGCAAGTCTTATGCTCATTGCTCATCTGCTTTTATGCATGTGGTTTGCAAACATCTAGGGAGTTTTGATTGATTTACTGTTTGTCCCCCATAATTTCACCATATTTATCTGAGCCTCATCTGGTGGCTGCTAACAGTGGAAAATATCAACAACAAAAAATGGCAGCACCAGGAACACCATTCTGATTGGCTGGCAGTGTACCAACTGCTGGCTGTTGCACTGAATAGCCTGAGTGATGAAAAACAAATGAGGACACCACACATTTTATTTTACTGCAGAGCAACTAGCAAGCTGCTTCTTATGTGTACAGATTATTTTGCAGGATATGCCTGTGTGTGTAATTGTGTTTGTCTGCCCATGTGCCTAATGTAGGTGAAATATGAAAACGTGGATGGCCTGCTGCTTGCTTTGCATTTAAATCCTGTCACCCTCTAGAGGCATGGTATACTGGGTTGAGCGATGTCAAGGCCACAACATTTAGAAAGAGAGAGGAGGCTAGTTGGAGCAGCACAGCGAGGCAATTCTGAAAAAAAAAAAAAAAAAAACTCTAAACTGAGTGCTTCATGTGTAATACAGAAGGTTTTTACCTCATCCAGAAATGACCATTTTTAAAAGTTCCATGCTAGCAGTGGTCCGCTGTGAGTAGTACGCATATGGGAGAAAGACTACTTCCTCACCTGTTGTTGCTGTGGGAAAAGTGACGCTGCTTGACAGATTAGTCCCATCATAAAGGACAGCTGAACTAGATTATCAAGATTACTCATATGGTTTCTGTACGCTTAGACTAGTTAAAGATTCATAATGGTAATACGGTGGTAATTTGGATGTAGTTAGATTTCTCTTGTAGTGCACAGTGTTTATACTGTTTTAATGTGCCTGTCTCCTGAATGGGCTTTACTGAACAGTCCACTTTTTTGCCCACCAAGCAGGATCTATGAAGTTTGACTGACTAAATCCATTTGTTCAGTAGGATCAGTTTTCATTGTGACTGTTTATTTGTCCTCTATCTCTCTCAGGGCCTGTCTTCACAACCGCTGATCCGATTTACTGGAAACCAAGGGGTAAGTGCATTTCAAGTTTTAAAAAAACCCTATTTTGTATCTATCGGAGTAAAATTATGTGATCACTGTCTGCAAATGATGAGTTTGCACCACAGAATTTTTCTATTGGTAAATAATTAACTCAGGGACTGTGTTCTGTGTGTGTATAATCAAGTACTGACTAGACTGCCTCTGTAGCTGCAGTGAGCTGTATTTGTTGTCTGCGAGTGACTGGCAGGATTAGATTTCCTGTCATATTTTGGCAGCGACATGCGTGGCTGCAATTACATCTGCGGCTATACTAGCCGGCCTAGATATTCCCCTCACAGGGTAGACAGACAGAAAGAAGTTCTCCTTTGTGAGAGACAAGGAACTCGTCTGGATACACTATCCAGACCCAGACAAGCCCCATCACATGCTCTTCTAGTATGAGCAGCATCAGCCTGTACAAATTAGCCCCGTAGAAATAAATAGATTTTCTCTAAGGCGAGCATTGTCATTCTCCGTATGAGCAGTACTGTATGCATTCCAGACATTTAGCGCTGCTGGTCCAAAATCTCTCCAAACAAACCCTCACTAATGTGAGTCACAGTGGAGCAGCCACATTCTAATAGTCACACAATACTGTTTGAAAAGTATTACCATCTTGCCTCATTGTTAGTGACATTTACACTGTTTACAGTGTAGATTAGATTTAATGTATTTGTTTTCATTTCAGACATCAGAACATAAACTGGAGCGGTGCCACAGATGTTGCTAACTTGTCTAATTTATATTGTTTGGATAATCAGTACTGTTTAGGCCTAGATAAGCTAAAGCTAGGTGGGGTGTCTGAACAGTACCATGTACAGAAGGTAGGTGGGTCCTAGCAATCCAGTAGAGTCACATGCAATCCAGAGTCTAACGTGGTTACAGAGTCAAAGGTTTCAGTGTCCATTGGATTGTGCTTTAAATATCTTGAACAGTCTTTGCTCTCATTTGAAGAAATGCACGACCATGTCTTTGTCTTTAATTAACCATTGTAAATATGGTATTGGAACTGACCCTGTATATAGCTTACTTCTCGTGTTCTTATTTTTGTGTTTTTTGTTCTCCCTTATGTTATTTTTAGTACTACATTGATATTGATTTCTGTATGGTTGGGTTTAGCGCTTACCATAAAGGCACTACTTGTGCACGTGACATTCACTTGAAACCCTCAGTCTAATATTTGATAAAGCTGGAGTGTGTTGAAGCTTCTGCGTTCTTCATATGGTAGTTATATCTCCATCAGATGCCTGTCTTCCCCTCCTGACTCGTATGCTTCTAGTGGGAGCGGGAGGGATCAGTAATTGCTCCCGTCAACTTGAGAGATCAGATGGTTAGAAAATATGGTGTTTTTACTGGGTGTTTGAAGTGCTGAATTATGCATGTGTTTAATGGCTGAATCATGACTGGGCGGGATGTGAACCTGTTCTATTAGTTTACTGGAATGCTAATGAGAGCGGGGGAGTGAAGGGGAAAGCTGCTAAATGATGTGTTGGCTGCTCCGTGTGACCATAGCATTTACATTCATTCATATTGGCAGAGCTTTCATTCACAGCCACTTCCAGGGTCAAGGTGGCATAATAGAACCAGCTCAAAAAAATATTCAGGGAAGGTAAACAGGCCAGGGAAGGTAAATTCCTGTGTGTGTGGACGACAGAGTGTGTGTCAGTGTGTCTGGCTGTATTTGGCAAGGAGGACAGGCCTGTGCCAGCGATGAATACCCCCTGCTTTGCACGGCCTCTCCCTCAGCTGTTTCATTAATTACAGCACTGAGGAGGACACCAGAGGAGCCGCTGTGAAGGGCCAGTCTTCTCGAGTGCCCCCGGCCTGAAAAGAGCCTTTGTTTGCAGGACTGTGCAAAATGAGAGGGGATGAGGGGAGCTGGAGGCAGAGAGAGAAGGGGATTGGAAATGGCTGTTAAAATCCATTCGCTTTTCAGATGGGTGAGGGGGTAGGGTGGGTGACCGTGTCTGTCTGGTGGTGATGGGTGCACTGGAGTGTGCTGTTCATTCAGCTTTTTGTTGAGGATGAACTACCCCTCTTTCCATGCTCCCTGTTTTTCATTTGAGTGCATGTTTTGGTAATAAAATGCATCCTTTTGGCTTGGCATTTCCTCTGAGAGAAGGCTGCTTCCAAACCGACTGTTTGATTATGGCTAGATGCTGTGTGGGTTTGAGGCTCGCTGGTTTTTATGTGGATAAATAAGTATTTTTAAGAGGGTAGTAATTCACCACCTGACTGTAATGTCTGTGTGAAGTTCCAGTGTCCATAGATAACTGCCAGTAGGCTCAGGCAGTAGCCCATTGCTGCAGCAGTACTGTTGGTTGGTTGGCCCCGGCCTGCCTGCATTGGGATCAGGGCATGTGGAGCCTCAGTCAGCCCACAGCCACAGCCAGGCCTGACTCTGTCATCCTTTACTGTATCAGACTGACTCACCCCTCCTTGGCCTTCCAGTGATTCCCACTGCCTCTTAATCATCGCAGGTTACACACACACACACACACGCACTACCCTTGTAAATTGTGTGTGTGTGAGATCAACTTACTCTTACTGCTGAGAGGAGTGTCTGTGGTGTGCACATCTGCAGTCACCGCAGTTATCAGGAAGTGGTGAATTGATGATATTCAGCTGAACGTTTGAATGTTTTCTTCTTATAAAGTAAGATTATTGTAATATCCAGGCTGCTTCAGTTGGACATTACGAAAATGGGTCTAATCCCATTCAGAGTTTCGTATAAACACACAAGGCAATGGGTTGATAACTCTGCACTATGAAAGGCTAGTTCTCTTCATGTGGAGTATAAAAGGCAGGTTTGTACTGGAGCTGAGGCTGAGCATCTCACGTAACCGAGACCCCAGTGTTTATTTATAGTTGGCCACCTGCAGGCTCCACACGTGTTAGGACCTTGGGAAACCGAGCTAGGCTGCTAGCGAGAGGGAGCGAGACCGAGATAGCAGCCTTTGAGTATATCAACTGCAGGGAGCCAACAGACCAGGCCAGGGGTCAGCCTGCTCAGCCAGCCAGCCTGCCAGAACTCCCAACAACACAGCCCTCTCCCCTGGCCCTGTCTCGCTCTACCCCAGCCAGCACTCTGCCCTTCTCTCAAGCTTGGATCTCCACTCCTGTTAGACGAGTCAGGCTTGCTCACATACCCAGCTACCAGCTACCCCATCAGGCATTGGTTTAGCATTTCCTTCCTCTCATGGGAGTCCAAGCCCAAATTCTAGCATTTGTTTTCCAATGTAGGACAGGGAGGCGTATGGCTTTAAAATCGGTCTTCATTTCTCGATCCTCTCACTGCCAGTTTAGCCTACTCACTGTTGCTCGAAGAAGATTACGGGGTGTTTTACTGAAAACTGAACTCTGAAAGCTCAACAACACCTGTCTAGGGATATTGGAATCGGGCCCCTGTGATTTAGGCCTTTGGGCCTCAGCGCTGGGCAGTAGTCTAGGCTGTAATTTCACTCATTCCCAAGTTTGCCTAGAAGCAACACCTGTAACGTGGGAGCAGTAGAGCAATTATGGCTAAGGAGGCGTGACTACTTCATAAATACCTATGGGTAACAATTAGCTACCTGTGTTACATTTACTTACATTACCAGTTAAACCAGCAGAATGTGACGGAACAGGGGGGACTTGTGGGCTAGCCTAGCTCAGTCATGCAGTCTGTCTCTTAGCCTCAAGCCTCACCCTGTTACTCATCATCCTCCCACATCGCCACCATGCAGGCCTGATAGACAACTACCTATACTGTACATTTTGTTTTTACAGTACACATACAGGTAACTGCCAAAATAAAGGAAACACTTGAGTAATTGAGGGATACTAAGTATATTGAAAGCAGGTGTGGTTCCTGAGTTAATTAAGTACTTAACATCCCATCATGCTTAGGGTGATGTATAAAAATGCCCAGTTGCCCATAGAAGAAGAGATCTCAGTGACTTTGAAATAGGGGTCTTCAAAGGAGCATAGGGGGTTTAAAGAGTGTGTGTGTCTCAGTCACCTGATCTGGAGCGGCGCCTGAGACAGCGTTTTCCACCACCATCAACAAAACACCAACTGATGGAATTTGTTGTGGAAGAATGGTGTCGCATCCCTCCAATAGAGTTCCAGACAGAGTAGAATCTATGCCAAGGCGCAATGAAGCTGTTCTCACTTGTGGTGGCCCAACGCCCTACTGACACTTTGTTGGTTTCCTTTATTTTCTGGCAGTTACATGTATGTTGCTCATTAGTTACAGGGTGGTGAGGTGGGTTTACTGTTGTAATGCTGTTGTTGGCTATACAACTTTATTCACTGTCAGAACACCTGATGGGCCTGGGGCATGCTCCGAGGGATTCAAACAACATTGTAGATTTGAGGTTTAATTTCTAGAGCTTACATGAATCCCTATTCTACTAATAGAGGCCTAGTATTCCTCACCGACATGTTAGTGTGCACAGTCCACTATATTGCTAATAAATTACAGGGTGGCGGTGAGTGGTTTTACTGTATCTGGAAGGGCACCCGAGTGACATGTTCAGCAGACAACACTGTTAGATTTGTTCTCTAAATCTGTCACATCAGCTGCTGGACGTATTGAATGGAACAGATTATGGATGACCTTTCCTATATTGATCATTTAAATGCACTCTCGGGAAGAATGTCGGCCATTGATTTATACATTTCTCCTCCGTCCACAGAAAATCTCAATACCACGGTCGGAAAATCCGAATGAGCTGCGGACGTTTACTTTCTACTTGTCCAATGTGGGTAGAGACAACCCACAGGGCAGCTTCGACTGCATTCAGCAGTACATCACCAGGTGAGTGAGCACAGAGGCACTGTCCTCATCCTCTCTTTGACATACGACACATGCATCACTCACATACGCGCATAATAAGCATTAATGCATGCAAACACAGTTGACACTGTTTATTTCATATGAATTCTGTTTTGGAATTAAGCTACCATGATTCCACTCTGTCAGTAGGTTTGAAAAATTTATATTTGGACAGGCTAAATTTATGAGTGACTTTTTGTTTGCAAACGGAGGAGTTTGTTAACATGGTTAAGAGCTGAACTGGATTAGGAGAGTTCTGAAAGATGTTTTGGAGGAGGACTTCCTGATCACAGGCTTTGGTGCAGAGTGAGTGCCATCTGCTCTCAAGTGTGCTCTCTGTCCTATTTGCCTCCCAGTCTGATCAAAGACAAATGTTGAGCAAATTAATTGAATTGGGCCAGATGTCTGCGTATTGAGGTGGAAGAAGAGGAACTGAGTCCCGGCTCTGACTATCTCGTTTTTTAACACCCATCATGTCCTCAACCATTTCTAATGAGAGACTGGGTCGGCTGGAGTTCACTCATCGCCCTGGATCCTCATGAGCCTCTAATTCCACTATAAACCAGAGGCAGAGCCACTGAGAGCTGCCAACTCCATTTCATCCCCTGCCAAACCGTCATCAAAATGAGGAGGAATCAAAGGCAGGGAAAACCAGGAAAGAATAGGATTTGATGCAACATTGGTTTGATAATGTGGGAATCCACAGTTGACTAGACAATCAAATTGTCTAGTCAAGGCAGTGGTATGTCATGAGTATTAGCACGGGAAGGTGCTTTGGGCAGCATGAGGCAAGGCTAAGGCAGAAAATTGTTACATTAAAAATATTATACTGAATGAACTTCCTCACTAGTCTTTTTTTATAGGCAATAAAAGCAATGATTTAAGTGTGTTTTCGTTACATGTTCCTCAAACTGTCAGCTAATGTCATTTGGATGCAGCTACTATAAAGTTGAAGGTTTGTACCTTTTTTAGGGAAGCTAAGAGAATCTCCCAAAGCGTGGGAGTGAGTTGACCTGTTAGTCTCTGTTTCTGTGTAACCGTCTCCTCCTCTGTTGTCCCAGTGAAGGGAGCATTCAGCTGGACTGCCTGGGTGGGATCCAGGACAAGATCACTGTGTGTGCCACGGACGACTCCTACCAGAAGGCCAGGCAAAGCATGGCTCAGGCAGAGGAGGAGACCCGCAGCAGGGGTGCTATCGTCATCAAGCCTGGGGGGAGATACGTGGGTAAGGCCCTTCAACATTACTGTTTACACATTACCTTAATTCTGGTGAAAATGGCTGAGCTCACAGCGTAGGGATAATTGCATGCTCATGGTTCCCTGTGTGAGGCCCTATGGGCTGGCCGGATGGTTAGGTGCTCAGAGCTTCACACAGTTATGTCTCTGACTCAGAACCAAACCAAAGAACCAACTAACTGCCCAGTCACCACAGAAACACCATCACAGGTTCACAGGTGTCTGATTTACAAGGAAGCAGCTTGTTCAAATATTTGTACTGTGGTGACTTTAAAGACAACTGGTTCATTCATGAAGTTCACCCTGATAGGAGTGTGTTTGCTTTTCTCTGTTAGGGGGGTGTTTGCTTTTCTCTGTTGAAGAGAACTTCACACGGCCCTAGAACTCCTCATTACAACCCCAACATCTCATGGTTATAAGTCACAAAGGCTCAACCTTTCTGACACACAACAATGTTGCTTTAAAAAAAAAATTCTCAGGTAAGAAGGTGCAGATCCGGAAACCAGCGCCTGGACTGTCTGACATCGCTCCGTCGCGGCGGACTTCGCGGCCAGTCATCATCTCCAGCAGCACGGGGAAGAAGAGCACGGCGCAGCAGAGGCCCCTGAGGGAGCGCCTCACCCACCTGCTGGCCCTCAAGCCCTACAGGAAGCCAGAGCTCATCCTACGCCTGCAGAAGGACGGCCTCTTGCCCTTCGACAAAGACTCTCTTGACAGCCTCCTGCAACAGGTTAGTCAAGTCAGTCACACTCGTAGGCAGGGGCGTTTCTAGGATTTGTTTTTATGGGGTGGCCAAGGGGGGACCAAGAACCAGTCATGGGTGGCCATGGGAAATCAGCAAATTGTATCACAAATAGCGTTGAAAATTGGCTTAAACTACGATGTATTGTTAATTTGTATCTGCCCTAATTTATTCAAATAAATCCATTTGAAAATGAACAGGGAAAATATTGAAGTTAGGTACATGTTCAGTGGTAACTCCCCCTCCAAGGATCCCCCCCTGAAGCTGATATACTGCATTTATATACAATTTAAAAGTTTTAAAGCTAGAATCCGCAATTGAAACAATAACAAAGTGGGCTCCCCGCCGTTTGGTTTGCTAAAAAGCTGATGGATGGGCCTGGAGAAATGTAACCACTCTCAAATTCATAGACAGCTATGGATGCAAGGACTGCCCATTCATGAAATCAAAATGATAGTTTTAACCATGTTTTGAGGCTATACAGTGTTTGTTTACATTTACGTTTATAAACATTGGGGTTAAAATAAGCTTATATTTTGTGTTCTGATTGGGTACGACAGTTGAACTAAGCTCATATTCATCAAGAGTCAAGGGGTGTATCTATAATTCATTTATACGTTTGAAAAAATCAGCCCTCGCAGAGAACGCGATTGAACTTCACTCATTTTTCCACGTTAGTAAACAGTACTATCAACGTTTCCCTCTGTGGGAATTGTAATCTAATCAATTTAAAAGTATCCACTTTCAATGCAACATACCGAAACAAAACAAACTATGTAAGATGGTTTTTTCACCATGCTAAGATTATTTAATGAGAATGCCACTACATCGTAAATAAGCACAACAATTGCACAGTCTGGAATGATCTAGTCATTAACGGCGCAAAACGATGATATCGCAATATTTGGTGTAGCATTTTCACCCAACCCTAATGCAAGACTTCGTATGCAAAACTAACTATGCAGGAGATTTTGCAGAGCGCATCGGAGTAGGATTCTATTGCATTGACAGGCACGAGCGGTCAGGAGTAGATGCACTTGTTTTGAGATCCTTGCGAGAGCTCCATGTAGCCACGTGTGCACATTTGTTCATATTCTTTGCTAGTTAGGGAGTTATTAGCCCAGTTATAGCTCATTTATGGTCAGCAATGCATGAGTGGAACCTTCCAACGAGCACATTTCTAGACATCTTTGAAAAGCGAGTCAGGTAAAGAGCTTTTTTATGTCTTAAAGGGGCAGTGTTGTATTTTCAGACAGGCTTGAATAAACTAAGTAGCCAATACGCGGAGGGTAGCATACATTTTTGTCTGATTCTCTGTAGTAGTAGTGGTGATGATGATGATATGTGAATAAAGTGTTTTCTTGCATCAAACGCAATACAATATTTTCAGTCACCTCCTTGTCTGAAGGACAAGTGGATGAACAGGTTAATGTCAAACCCTGCATGTTTTTTCAAAAGTCTCTTGGAATGCAGGCCTACATTGAACACTATTAATGTAGGCTGAAGGATAGAACACCTATTTCCATGTTAAAATGTTATGGGATAGATTTTCTCAGTTTTTTATGGTAGGCCACTCTGGTAGGCCTACATTATGATCCATTTAGTCGATTATTTGGTCGATAGGCTGTTGGTCGACCGAGATTTCTTTAGTCGAGCAAGTAGCAAAAAGTAGCTTAGTATAGCAGCCTTGTATAACCACCATCAAGCTGTAGGCCTAAGAGCGCATCCTGTTTAGTCTTAATACCGTAACTTACCCTATATTTCAATACTTATATAGGCTACTGTATCAATCAATCATTTATTAGTTAATTCTTGATTCATTCATGATTAGAAATGCAATCAAGCGTTTGTTTTGAAAATAAAATGACAAAGCAACCATTGAATAATTAGTGAATAATAAATAGGCCTAAACCGTTCCATTTCGGAAATTGCATTCACGAATTAATGTGACTGTTTTTAGTCTTTGCTGTAATAAAGTTCTTACAAAAAAAAACTAAAAAATTTTACAACGGACTCTGGTACGCTTAGTTTTTACATTGTTCTGACCGGTCTGAAAAGTTGTATTGTAATCTAACAGCACCTGTTTGGCACACATAATATGACACAGCACTTGCTCCTCCTTTGTCTTGATCTCCAGTATTTTCCACAACTAGTCAAATTTATTCCACACATCTGACTTCCCGTTTACCTCCTGAGCAACCAGTAAACATTCCCCAGTTTCGAGTTTATTTGTTACGTCCTATGCATCCGATTTGCTGTTATGTGTTCAGAGTTTGTTATAATCAATGTATTAATTGTGATTATGATATGCTATTGGCCTAGGTCAGGCCCTATTGGTCACATGCATATGATGCATACCTGTGTCACGTAAAGAGCGCAAGGGTTGAGGGAATAGGGAATGTTTTTCCTAAACAAATGAGGGATTTCGGTAACAACTTTTCAGTCAGAAATGGCTGTAATTATGTTGCAGCTTCAGCAACACAGACAGCGCGATACACAATGTGATGTTCTGTGGTGGTTGCTGCAGCAAGGAGGAGAGAGAGTGCTAGTCAGTCACTCGCTGTCGTTTTTTTTTTTTTTTTAACACAGCGCTGCAAGTCTGAGCCAGGCCCGGCACAATCAAGTCAATTGCGGTCGGACTCCCTCTAGTCATTTTTGTGTCTTAATTATTTCATTGAACAGTTCGCTTAAAATGTCAGACAAGCTCAGTGCATATAGTTGATTTGATTTAAACACATAGGATGTGTTTATATATGGAAAAATACACGTTTGAAAATGTAGACCAATCGATTTTTAGTCGGGGACAGCCTTAGTTAAAACTAACAGAGTGGGTACATCCTCTGTGTTCACAGTGAACACACGATTGAAGTTCCACTGAATTTTCACAACGTACAAGTTTGCGCTCAGCAGACCTGAAATTTGCTCGGTGCCGAAAATAATTAGAGAGAACATTGGTCCCAAAGCCAGCCCACTAAACTGCCAGAACAAACATGCTGTATTTTCTCTCCAATCTGAGCCAGATTGACAGCGCTCTGACCCAATGAGAATGGGGGGGGCACAAAGGGTGGCTAATCATCTTTCAGGCCGGTGCCACCCCTCTTATAACACCCATGCTCATAAGGTATAATGCCTCTCACAGCAGGTTGGGTATATTGGGTCTTGGCAGACCGAGGGTCCTTCTGAGCTCAGTGTCCTACAACAGATAAATTAGTCACAGGACCCAAGCCTCCTACAGGACCCAAGCCTCCAAGACACTTAGAGCCAGGGCTTAGCCTGTGGTTACAGGTAAGTCCTAGCCAGCACTGAAGCCCACTGCAAACAGGTCAGTCACTGCCAGTGGTGCAGGGTATTAATGGTGCATTTTTTGAGAATAGGCTTAGGAAATGCTTTCTTCTAGAATACTGCATCATGGCATTAATGTAATGCACTGATTGCTGTCACTTGTCTCTAGGTGGCTAACCTAAATGGGAGAGACAACACCTTCACATTGAAGGACTCTTTGTTTAAGGACATTCAGAAGGACTGGCCAGGCTACACTGAGGGAGACCAGCAACTTCTGAAGAGGATCCTTGTTCGGTATGTGCTAGGTGGTGCTTTATTACTATATCACATCACATATTAAACCAATGCTTTTGTGTGTAGCGCCACGTCAACAACTGCCAGCGGCATAAACCAGCAATAATGGTACTCCTGAGTGGCGCAGTGGTCTAACTGTGCCACTAGAGATCCTGGTTCGAATCCAGGCTCTGTCGCAGCCGGCCGCGACCGGGAGACTCATGGGCGGCGCACAATTGGCCCAGCGTCGTCCAGGGTAGGGGAGGGAATGGCCGGCAGGGATGTAGCTCAGTTGATAGAGCATGGCGTTTGCAACGCCAGGGTTGTGGGTTCGATTCCCACGGGGGGCCAGTATAAAAAAAATAAAAAAAAGATGTATTCACTAACTGTAAGTCGCTCTGGATAAGAGCGTCTGCTAAATGACTAAAATGTAAATGTAAATAATGGAATCATCCCCACATTGGTTTCTGAAGTTTATCACCTCAGCTTTGTGTGTTGGTTTAAACAAACTTCCATAGAATTCCAAATATGCTCAGGAATAGTAGATTGTAGTCTGAAACCAGGCACTGCTCTCTCTGTGTGGATCCCTGCCCTCAGTTTTTTTTTCTTGGTGGGACCCAGTGGAAAAAGCTGGTTTCTCAAGATCTGGGGCAGTAAGGAAATGCACATCCCAGCTAAATTTAGAACAGGCGCTTAGCTGGGTTTACTGAGTTGACCCAAAGTTGTTGGACTCAGTATAGCAGGGAATATTTCACACTCTCAATTATTAAATGTTTCTGTGGAAGTTATCCCAAAATAATATATTTATACCGATTTCTGGACTGGACTTTGAGCTTGGCTACCTTATGAGCTGACCACCCTCCCTCCCCTAAAGTTTAAACACCAGCCGTAGTCACGCAAGAGTAGTGCAGCAAAATGATCTGAAGGCCTGTGATGCAACACTGTTCCAGCACATGCTGATCCATGTTTGAGGTGGCACTGGTCCAAGGTCCAGGCCTGGGCTTGCTAGGCTTCAGTTGCGACTTGACCACAGCACAGCAGCCAGCCTTTCCCCTAGTCTGCTCTAACCATATCTCTCTGTCTCTCCTTCTCTCTCTCTCTCTCGGGGGTTTGGAGATTTCCCCGTGTATCCCACTGCCCCCTACTGTCAACACTCCTCTACCAACATACACAAATAATATTCTGTTTATGTACACATTACACACCCTTTGTATACTCTTTTTATTCAGCTGCAACTTAGCATCTCACCCAAGGCTTTGTCAGAGATCTGTTTATGATGTCTGACTTGTGTTAAACCAGGTCTGTTTTATTTGCATCTGTCTGAGACTAAATGGCATTGAGATGAGGGAAATAACAGAATGTAGTGCAAGGCCACCTTAATGCGGTCATGTGCCAATATGTCACAGGTCCATTGGAACAGGGAATAGAGTTAAACTTGGAGTTGGCGCTATGCATTAAGACAACCACCTAGCACTAGTTTCATTGCAGACTTGCCAACTCAATGGGGCTCTACTTGTGAACATTAGAGAAGGTTTGTTTAAACTTTTTCTCCATCTCAAAATGCGCATCAGCCAATTAAAACCGTCAAAGTAGTTGCTCGTGATCACACGCTATATGTTAGCTGTTCCCCTCAGATAACCTGGCAGACTTAGCTCTGTGCTAACCTGCACAGCTGGCAGTGATTATATCTGATTCAAATTCCATATCACCCAATTAAACTCGTTGACGTACTTGGATGTGATCCAACACTTGTTCAAATAGCTCTCTGTGTAGTGCCTATCTCCACGTAATTGTCGCAGATTATGGCAAGGGTTTGAATATCACATTAATTTTCCCCCCCTTTGAAATGTAGAATTACATTTATTGTGTTGAGAAGAGAAGTGGAGCCAAAATATTGTAAATGAAGGTTACGAATACATTTAATGAGGATGTTCTTGTTGAACTCACTCTTGCAGGCCGACACATTGGCTACTGGCACTGTTACATAAATAATCATCGCTGCTATAGTACATAAACATGTAGGCAACACTTACATGTACAATATTTAATATGCGTAATTCTAATCATCCACTTCGTCTCATATGCGCTGTTTGAATCGAGGACCAGCAGTGAACAGTGTTTTCCTTAACAAAAATGTTTGACGTGAGGGTAGGGTTCAAACCCACGGATAAAGGAAAGGTTCACCCATTTTGAATGTTGTTTTTGTGCATCTCTGATGTATCGATTCCCTGGGTCATTTAATGTTTTCATGTGTATCTGCGTTATTGGCGTTCAAGCAGGCACAAATCCGTCCGGATGTAGCACTGTGATGAAGTCTCTTTCACAACACTGAAAGTTAATAGGAATACGACTTGTAGATCGCGAAAACGTCTATCATACATGTCCAATTTCAATACTGGCCGATGCCATAATTCTCGAATGAGCCATTGATCATATTTTTGCGATATTCCTACCTCTGGAAATTTGAAATGTAACGCAGGATCTAGCATGTTTTTCCTATGTGTCTGCCTCTTTATTCCAAGGTGCATTGCATGGTGCCGTTGCCAGAGATATTATAGAAAGGAGATAGGAATTCAATGAATGAAGGAACGTATAACGCCCCACCCAGCAGACTGTCGACCAATCGCGTTCACGTTGTCATTATGGAGACACCTATTTCCCAACACATTTCCATAAAACCATATTAACACTCTAGAACTGATGCACATCAAGAAATAAGTCGACAAAGCACAGGAAAACGACTTTAGGCGCTCTAGAACGCATTCAAAAATTTCGCTAAATTCAGTTCATTCTAATGTCGACTTTGCTTATGGAAAACAATATAAAGCGAAGGGTTTTACGCATCCTCAATTCTTGGGTCTCGGGTGCTGCCCGAGTAGAAATGTGCCTCTGTTGGCCATCAAGTAGCCTATTAATTTATATGCCATTGTGGGCTACCATTTGATACAATAAATATATTGAAATGACGATATCACTGGAGTCATTGCAAATCAATTTGTGCCACTTGTGTAGCCTACCTGAAGCTGGCAAAACAATTTAATAAATAGCCTATAACTTCAGTTTATTGTTGTTGTAGCCTTGTCTTATGATGCAATTATTAGTGGACATGTTTAGTTAATTAAATTGGAAGCTATCAAAGCTCTATCGCAATTGCCGATCAGTTGTTAGAACACATTAGATTGACGTAACATTAGTCAGATTAGGCTACAAGTTAAAACATTTAAATACTGGCTGTTGTTGACAAGCTTTTTCACTTCATATATATATATTATTAATATTTAATTCACAGATTTTTAAATTAAGAGCCCATTCTCAGTAGCCTATTCCAGCAGGGTATTGGGGGAAACAAGCACTTCCTACCTCAATCGCCTCGCTATTAATGTTGAATAAATGTGTCTGTTAATTTGAACTAAGCAAGCTGCTAAATCGTTCAGTTTACATCTTGCCTACATCTTGTCTAGGCTACTGTAGACTATCTGAAATTAGATGTAGGCCTATCAGGGGCTGTAGGCTACCTGCCTTTATCCAAGCAAACAATGGCAAAGTTGAATTACAATCATAAACCCAGATTTTAGTCTGTAGCCTATGCCTATTGAAATGACAAGTCAATCTTGCAAATGGGCCATTTTATAATGGTTTGTAGTCTTAACATCTGGCATGTAATAACAGCACAATTGCCAGAAAATCGCCTAGCATTAGTTTTTTTTCATGTTCATCCAAGTGTTTCTTGCTCAGAGATTTCAAGATCCTCTGTCCAACTTTCATCACTCAAACTCTCTTGTCGGCTTTATCTATAGTTATGCATATGCGCAAAGGGAATTTATTTACAATTATAAATCTGGTTTGAGCCCTGAATGCTGATTGGCTGAAAGCCGTGGTATATCAGACCATATACCACAGGTATGACAAAACATTACTTTTTACTGTTCTAATTATGTTGGTAACCAGTTTATAATAGCAATAAGGCACCCCAGGGGTTTGTGGTAACAGATAACGGCTGTATCCATGCACTCTGTGTTGCGTCATGCTTAAGAACAGCCCATGGCCATGGTATATTGGCCATATACCATACCCCCTTGTGCCTTATTGCTTAAACATAGCAGTCAAACGAGTTAAAGCGACATCCATTGATGGAAAATGATCTGGCGAGTTTAATAAGGGCAAATTATTTTCTTCTGCGACATATTCAAATTCCTTTATTACTTAATGTCATAGCTCGCAGTAATTATTCTTTTGAGAAAAACTATATTTTGCTTTTCTAACGTCGTTACAAGTTACGATATTATTTTTTAATTGGCTTGGTAACGTTGTCAAAAAAGGGTTTATTGTATTCATATGGCAACTCCTCTCTTGCTGGGAAAAACAAATGGGCTAGTTTTCAGGCCGGTTGGGCAGGTTCTGAGTGGAAATTGTAGCAGACCCAACCCTGCGTAGCATGGGCAACATTTCCCATCTCTTCAAAAGTATATCTGCCGTTGCGAATGTTGGACTCCACTCTGTGAGGCACATCTATCTGCAGGTTGAACATGGTGAGAGTGTGGACTTCTAAATTGATAGCTGTACAATCGCCTAAACAAATTGCACTAACTAGCTACTTTACATGCTGATATTGTCTTTGGTATTATTGTGTGTAGCTACATTTGCTAGCTAGCTACCTAACTAGCCAGCCAGCCCATAGAGAGAGCATTGCATTGTGGATTGTTTTGTAATCGACTTGAGCTGCAATAGGTTTCCACAACGATTTTCCATGTTGCTACCAACTTTATTATAATGCCAAAATGAAACATTTGTTCACCAAACATATTGTTCTTACATATTAGTGTTATTTAACCACACATTCCTTTAATGTACAGTGTTTTTGTTGGATTTTTCCTTTTAATGTGTACTGTCTTTTTAGTCAACCTCTTTGGCAGTGTGTATCACCAGGATGCGATGATGATGGTACAGTGGCTTGCAAAAGTATTCACCCCCTTGGCATTTTTCCTATTTTGTTGCCTTACAACCTGGAATTCAAATGGATTTTTGGGGGTTTGTATCATTTGATTTACACAACATGCCTACCACTTTGAAGATGCAAAATCTTTTTTTTTGTGAAACAAACAAGAGATAAGACAAAGGATAACCCCCCCCCCAATACTTTGTAGAGCCACCTTTTGCAGCAATTACAGCTGCAAGTCTCTTGGGGTATGTCTCTAAGCTTGGCACATCTAGCCACTGGGACTTTTGCCCATTCTTCAAGGAAAAACCGCTCCAGATCCTTCAAGTTGGATGGGTTCCGCTGGAGTACAGCAATCTTTAAGTCATACCACAGATTCTCAATTGGATTAAGGTCTTGGCTTTGACTAGGCCATTCCAAGACATTTAAATGTTTCCCCTTAAACCACTCAAGTGTTGCTTTAGCAGTATGCTTAGGGTCATTGTCCTGCTGGAAGGTGAACCTCTGTCCCAGTCTCAAATCTCTGGAAGACTGAAACAGGTTTCCCTCAAGAATTTCCCTGTATTTAGCGCCATCCATCATTCCTTCAATTCTGACCAGTTTCCCATTCCCTGGGAAAAACATCCCCACAGCATGATGCTGCCACCACCATGCTTCACTGTGGGGATGGTGTTCTTGGGGTGATGAGAGGTGTTGGGTTTGCTCCACACATAGCGTTTTCCTTGATGGCCAAAACGCTCAATTTTAGTCTCATCTGACCAGAGTACCTTCTTCCATATGTTTGGGGAGTCTCCCACGTGCCTTTTGGCGAATACCAAACATGTTTGCTTATTTTCTTCTTTAAGCAATGGCTTTTTTCTGGCCACTCTTCCGTAAAGCCTAGCTCTGTGGAGTGTACTGCTTAAAGTGGTCCTATGGACAGATACTCCAATCTCCGCTGTGGAGCTTTGCAGCTCCTTCAGGGTTATCTTTGGTCTCTTTGTTGCCTCTCTGATTAATGTTGCCTCGTCCGTGAGTTTTGGTGGGCGGCCCTCTCTTGGCAGGTTTGTTGTGGTGCCATATTATTTCAATTTTTAATAATGGATTTAATGGTACTCCGTGGGATGTTCAAAGTTTCTGATATTTTTTTATAACCCAACCCTGATCTGTACTTCTCCACAACTTGGTCTTCATGGTGCCCCTTGCTTAGTGGTGCCCCTTGCTTAGTGGTGCCCCTTGCTTAGTGGTGCCCCTTTCTTAGTGGTGCCCCTTGCTTAGTGGTGTTGCAGACTCTGGGGTCTTTCAGAACAGGTGTGTGTGTGTGTGTGTGTGTGTGTGTATATATACACTGCTCAAAAAAATAAAGGGAACACTTAAACAACACATCCTAGATCTGAATGAATGAAATAATCTTATTAAATACTTTTATCTTTACATAGTTGAATGTGCTGACAACAAAATCACACAAAAATGTATCAACCTATGGAGGTCTGGATTTGGAGTCACCCTCAAAATTAAAGTGGAAAACCACACTACAGGCTGATCCAACTTTGATGTAATGTCCTTAAAACAAGTCAAAATGAGGCTCAGTAGTGTGTGTGGCCTCCACGTGCCTGTATGACCTCCCTACAACGCCTGGGCATGCTCCTGATGAGGTGGCGGATGGTCTCTTGAGGGATCTCCTCCCAGACCTGGACTAAAGCATCCGCCAACTCCTGGACAGTCTGTGGTGCAACGTGGCGTTGGTGGATGGAGCGAGACATGATGTCCCAGATGTGCTCAATTGGATTCAGGTCTGGGGAACGGGCGGGCCAGTCCATAGCATCAATGCCTTCCTCTTGCAGGAACTGCTGACACACTCCAGCCACATGAGGTCTAGCATTGTCTTGTATTAGGAGGAACCCAGGGCCAACCGCACCAGCATATGGTCTCACAAGGGATCTGAGGATCTCATCTCGGTACCTAATGGCAGTCAGGCTACCTCTGGCGAGCACATGGAGGGCTGTGCGGCCCCCAAAGAAATGCCACCCCACACCATGACTGACCCACCGCCAAACCGGTCATGCTGGAGGATGTTGCAGGCAGCAGAACGTTCTCCACCGCGTCTCCAGACTGTCACGTCTGTCACATGTGCTCAGTGTGAACCTGCTTTCATCTGTGAAGAGCACAGGGGCCAGTGGCGAATTTGCCAATCTTGGTGTTCTCTGGAAAATGCCAAACGTCCTGCACGGTGTTGGGCTGTAAGCACAACCCCCACCTGTGGACGTCGGGCCCTCATACCACCCTCATGGAGTCTGTTTCTGACCGTTTGAGCAGACACATGCACATTTGTGGCCTGCTGGAGGTCATTTTGCAGGGCTCTGGCAGTGCTCCTCCTTGCACAAAGGCGGAGGTAGCGGTCCTGCTGCTGGGTTGTTGCCCTCCTACGGCCTCCTCCACGTGTCCTGGTGTACTGGCCTGTCTCCTGGTAGCGCCTCCATGCTCTGGACACTACGCTGACAGACACAGCAAACCTTCTTGCCACAGCTCGCATTGATGTGCCATCCTGGATGAGCTGCACTACCTGAGCCACTTGTGTGGGTTGTAGACTCCGTCTCATGCTACCACTAGAGTGAAAGCACCGCCAGCATTCAAAAGTGACCAAAACATCAGCCAGGAAGCATAGGAACTGAGAAGTGGTCTGTGGTCACCACCTGCAGAACCACTTCTTTATTGGGGGTGTCTTGCTAATTGCCAATAATTTCCACCTGTTGTCTATTCCATTTGCACAACAGCATGTGAAATGTATTGTCAATCAGTGTTGCTTCCTAAGTGGACAGTTTGATTTCACAGAAGTGATTGACTTGGAGTTACATTGTGTTGTTTAAGTGTTCCCTTTATTTTTTTGAGCAGTGTATGTGTGTGTATATATATATTATATATGAGATCATGTGACACTTATATTGCACACAGGTGAACTTTATTTAAGTAATTATGTGACTTCTGAAGGTAATTGGTTGCACCATATCTTATTTAGGGGCTTCATAGTAAAGGGGGTGAATACATATGCACGCACCACTTTTCCGGTATTTTAATTTTGTAAATTTTTTAAGCAAGTTTTTCACTTCACCAATTTGGACTATGTTGTTTATGTCCATTACATGAAATCAAAAAAATTCAATTTAAATTACAGGTTGTAATGCAACAAAATAGGAAAAACGCCAAGGGGGATGAATACTTTTGCAAGGCACTGTACATGACAGCTATTTGAAAAGGCCGTAAGGCTCTTCTACTTTTTTTTTCTTCCGATGTGCAGTAAACTTAAATGTTGTATAGACCTTTATCTTTTTTCTGCAAAAGCACATGGATGTGTGTTAAACGGATTAGCAAAAACATGGGATTTTGTCATAGGCCTATATGTGAAAACTTGCCTTTTTAATTTTGTTTAACGTTAGTAGCTAGTAGCCTAGTTAAGAATGCATCATGCTATATTGTCACTCTACACTTTAATCTGGAGGTTTAAAATATCCTGCTGGTGGTCAATTTGACCTATTTTAAGAAATGCCATTGGTTGGTGATAAAATATAAGATCTTTAATAGGCTGATGGAGAATTTGTTACAGGAAATAATCACTGCCACCTGCTCAGGTTAGCATAGGGTTAATTAAATGTGCCAGGTTATGTAATGGGAACAGTTAACATGTAGCGTTTGATCAAGTCCAACTATGTTGATGATTTTAATTGATTGATGCGCATTTTGAGACGGAGAAAGTTTTAACTTAAAATTTTTCTAATGTTCGCAAGTATGGCCCAATGTGCCTCGACCTACTTCAGCAGTAGATTTAACCCAAACTCTGGACGTTTTTCCCCAAATAATGAATGTCTGAATTTTGTGCTCTCAGCAATGTATTATTTATGTATCTCTGTATGGTGACTCGGCTTCTGTGACCTGCTTTGTTTTAGGAAAATGAGTCAGGCCCAAAGTCAGACTCCGAGCATGACCACCACCACAGTGGCTCCGCCACCTCCAGCTGAGGTCCCACTCCCAGTGAGCCCTCCCAAAGAGCTGGCCAGCAGCTCCCCGTTGCAGGTGAGCCTCCTCTTCTTCCTCCTCTTCTTCCTCCACTTTCTTCTCCTCTTACATTTCAGTCATTTAGCAGACGCTCTTATCCAGAGCGACTTACAGTAGTGAGTGTATACATTTTCATACTTTTTTCTCATACTGGTCCCCCGTGGGAATCGAACCCACAACCCTGGCGTTGCAAGCGTCGTGCTCTACCAACTGAGCTACACGCGCCTCCGCCCCCTTATTCTTCTCCACCTCCTCCTCACAAAGCGTCCTCACAGGGCCTTCCACTGTTTGTGGGCCCATTAGGAGGAGTTGCCAAAGATGTTTATAACTAAACCAAGATGGACCACAGCTTGTCATTTCCAATGGGAACAAATTAGTCATAGTGGGCAGAACAAGCAAGGAGCATTTATACATCCAGTGAAATATCTATCTCATTGTTCTATCTGTGGAGTTACTGTAGATTTTATTATTAGCTCCTTCCCCTCTGGGTTTTCACCTCAGACACCTCATGTCCTTTCCCTTCTGTTCCCTCCCTTACACATTAGAAAATACACACTCCAGTCTCCCCCTCCTTCGTACACACACAAACGCGCAGTGGTGTTGAAAATAGGAAGTTTTGGAACACTAGCTGTAAACAGAAACCCACAGCGGAGCAGTTGTGTATGTGGCCAGTCTGGCTTAGTGAGAGACGTTCGAGGAGTTCTGCCAAACTAAACAGGTTAAGGAGCCGTGCAGGTCCACAGGGCTTCAAACTGGGCCTAGTGTTATTTCAGAACCAAGGACCTCCTGCTCCACTGTGATTAGGTCAGCCACTTCTAAAGTTGTTAGTGTATGCAGGGTCAATTGAAGTCTGCTAGTAATACAATACCATGCATTGTGTGGAAAGGACACAGTCATCATACACCCAGTGTAGCTGAGTTCCCTTTCACTCTGACCTTCTCTGCTTCACACCAGCACAACACATTAACTTCATTTTTGCTCATTTCCATAAGTTAATTCTCAGGATTTTTGTATATATTCTTTATCTTGATGTGTCATTAATAGAAACTATAGCTCATAGTTTTTCTCAGAATCCTTAGAGGGGAAATGAGTCCACATTCCCAGTTTTATTTTGTGCCTCAAACTCTGTTTCTGCCAGAAACGGCCGGCTGCGGATTTCATCGATCCACTGGCCAACAAAAAGCCCAGGATATCACACCTTGCCAACAAGGCAGCAGGACCAATAAATGGCAAGCTGAGTTCCTCTAATGGGAAGGAGGTGAGCGGGGCCGTGGTTGCGTCAGTGGGAGACGGTGTGACGTCCAGCTCCCAGCTCCCCCTGCTGGACATCCCCCGGCCTTTCGACCCACTCTCCGACGTCAGCAACGACTCCAGCCACAATGGCCGGGACTGTGAGGGCCAGGAGGCAGCCGTGGCCGAGAGGCTGAGCCAGCCACCCGTCTTCTCTGGGCCTGCAGCACTGTCCGTACCAAGCCTGGGCCCCTCGTCCCCCAGACACACGGGCCTCGACGGTCCCCGAGGCAAGAGCTCCTCGCCCTCCCTGCACGGCAAGTCCAAGAAGAAGTCCAAAAAACACAAAGACAAGGAAAAGTCCAAGGAGAGAGGAAGGGAGAGGGAAAGAGAAAAGGAGAGGAAGGTAGTCGAGGAGCGAGTTCCTGAACCAAGAAAGGCCTGTGACATCATCACCTCCTGCCCTGACAACCTGAAGAGCAGCAGTATTCCACACAGGAGCACAGGTGAGTTGTCATAGTATAGAGATCTATAGTCATTGTTTGTAGTCATCACATTGGTACTCAGTTAAATTAGGTGACCGATTGGAAAAATTGGGGACCTCTACTGCTAAGCATGATTTCAGCTCATGAATTTTAAACCAGGTAATTCATCAGACATTTTGCACAATGGAAAGACAACACATACTCATCCTTATATTTCACACATCTGATTTGTCCCAATTGAAATGAATTGATAAAATGTATGTATGAACGCTATACCTAGATTACTGCAGTCTGCGTTCTTGTGATTGGAAGCTCTGACTGATGTAAGTGATAATGAATAGTGAGTCTTCATGGATCGGCTTCAATGGAGAAAGGTTTTCAAGGCTATCTTACAAAGTCACCTTGTGCTTCCTTTCAGATCTCAATGGAATGTGCAACAACACCAGTGTTCCTTCGTCATCGACTGAGATGGCAGACTATTTATCGTAAGCGCTTCCTTCCTCTTACAAAACCACAAACATGTATAATGAAATGACTTTGTTTCCAGTAACCAATTCTGACGACATGGAAAGTGCGCAATTGAATCACTCCTCTTTCTTAGTTCTGTGTTATTTTTCCTCTGAACAGGAAGTATACTGTGATTGGGTCTTCCGAGCAGCGTCAGACCTACAAGAATGACTTTAATACTGAGTACAGTGAGTACCGGGGCCTCCACGCTCGGATAGAGGGCATCACTCGACAGTTCACTGTGCTGGACACTGAGCTCAAGCAGCTCCAACAAGGCACAGACCAGTACAAGGTACGCCCCCTGGAGCATGCTGACTACTGTTCTGCCTAAGCACTTCAGCTGCGCTATGGTGCTGTCCTGAGTTCTTTTTGTTCTAATGTTCAGCTTCAGGATAAAAATTTTGTTAATTGTTTTGTCATTTTGACTTTTCTTTTACAGACAATCCACAATCAGATACTCCAAGAGTATCGTAAAATAAAAAAGGTAAGCTTTGCATCTGGGATCATATTTTTCTCATAAAGCTGCTCAGGTCATTTTTCAACAAATACTGATTGTTTTTCTTTCCCTCACAGACGAATCGAAACTATAGCCAAGAGAAGAACCGCTGTGAATATCTACACAACAAACTGGCACATATAAAGAAACTTATAGCAGAGTATGATCATCAGCAACTTCATAACTGGCACTAGATTGACATTGTTTTCTCTTTCTCTCTGGAAACCAGACAGAGAAAGAGAAACTGGATTCTGCTTGCTCTAAAAGTACTTGTTAAAGATGCCATGAAGGGAGTATTCCCCTCATTGGGGCCAAAAGCACTAGTGAGGACAAAGCAGACCACATTATATTTTTTCTTTTTTTAAGACTGTGGCATGTTTGGCCAGATCTCTGTGTAGCTACACTGCATCCGGAAAAGCTTTGTGGGGTGTTTCTCATACTCTCAGTCCCACGTTAGTGCACAGAGATTTCTCAGAGTAGAAATGGAAAATCCACATTCTTTGGAGATCTCCAAACAGCCTTTCCTGGTTTGTAGACTGGGGGTGGTGGTAACACTGAAATGGAGTCGGCAGATCTTAAGCCAAATGCAAATAGTTTGAGAGAGAAAAAAATGGATTATGTGATATCACGTTTTTTCCCATATATTGAAATGGAAGGTTCTGATGTTGAACTATTTTACTATGTTTTCTTTTTTAATTTATTTTTTTCTTTTTGGACTTACATAGGGGTAACAAGTTATGTTATAATTTTACACTCCTCAATCAGTACTACACAGCAGTGTCTCTTGTTTTTGTCTTCATCTTGAATGTCAGCCAGTATTTTATGCAAAAGCTGCCATCAAATTGTCCATCTGTTGCTGTTCATAATTTGTTTCTTTTTAAAGAGATACAACTATCCCCATCAATTAATAAAGACAACGCTATAAAATCTCCAGTCAGGCTCAGGTGCCTCTGTTTGGCTTTTCTTACATCTTGTTCAGAAGGACATCATGCAAGAGCAGCTGCAGCCTCAGATGATAGGAGCTTAATGATATAAAGGGTTAACACAAGCTGGGAAAGTATTTTTGTGGAAAACTGTAATTATAGTTTTTTCGTATAGTTACAGTGATGGTACTTGGCAATGCCCATCTGCTGTGGGGCAAGGTTGTTTTCAGCTTCCCTACGCAATTGTTGAGAAGCCAGTTCATTGTCAGTAATTTGCAAGACCCACTCTCCTCCTAAATTGTATCACCTAATGCAAACAGGGAAGATGGAATAATCAGCTTCTTTGACATAATGTAGTCTGTTTAATCATAAATTGGAAGATATTGGTATACCCCACGCAGCAACATTTACTATTGTAACTTTTCTCTCTGTTCAGTGTAGTGGAATATATTGGTAGTTTAAATTCCCTTTTAATCCATGTAAACTATTTGCTCTTAAACAAGCGTTTTTTATTTCCAACCTCTAGTGTTTGTTCATCAACGTGATTGTCAAGATGAATGTTAACCCAGGACCAGCCTCACATCTTCCAAGTGGAGTGGATGACTAAATTCTTCTTCTTGTGTATCTGCCAGGCTAAAGTATTACAGCTCTTTAACGTGTCCTGAAAACACCTGAAATGATCAGAAAAGCTGTAATGTTTTGGAAACTGTTTGTCACTGAGCTCTCAATCACTTAAGTCAACTTTGGTCTAGTCATCTAATGCATTTCTGATATTGACCATTTTATGTGAATATGAAAAATCTGCACTTTTTTTGCAAATATTACTCTTACCTGGGTTTTGTCCAAATGAGACTTTCACTTTGTCCATCAGTGCATGCTTTATGAATGTCTTACAATGACCAGTATTTGTATCTTTACTTGAAACAGCTGCCGAAGGACATGCAAAGCCCCGATTTAAACCTCAATATGGAAACTGTAAGACCAGCATTAATACCAAAACAAGATGCTCTCCCAGGAATTGACCAAATGGCATAATCCGTTTCACAGTAATTGTTGATTTATTTTGAACATGTCATTTTCAACAGTATTGCCCTATAAAATGTAATCAAGCCTTTGGTTAGGATCAGAGTGGGGCTCTTATTCACTTCAAAGGGGATCTACATGCCTCTGCTCAGATGTTTCCATGTAAGTTTACTGTATCATCACACATGAAATCCAAACACTACACATCATGGCCGACGCTCAGAGATTCATTCGTCACAATGCTGATTACTGGGGCTGACAGATTGCCTCTGGAAAGAGAATGTTGGGGTCTTGTGAATGTTTTGTGACCAGAATCCATTCTTGGCATCGCCCAGTAATGTGGAGCTCTTTAAATAAGAAGCAATTTATCACTGGTCTCATACTCTCATTGTGAGTTGTTTTATAGAGACATTCTGATATGATTACTGTATACTTTTCTCTTGCGGTCAAATCACCTTTGACTCCATTCTCTTCATCAATGAAGACGTTAAATGCATTTGCTCAGATATGGAGCTAGTTGTGTTTAAGTATGAATTGCCAGAACAGAACACCATGGTATGAATTGAATGTGCCAAATGACCTGTTGTATACGTTTTCATATGATTACAAATGCTGCTGTTTTGTTAAAGAGATGGCTTTGGAGAAGAGTCGGGATGTTGGCGCTTAAACCCAAAGCCCACTTTTTGAAACCATAAGGGACTGGGACTGAAATTGATCTTTATTTCAATAAAATTATTTAAAATCCTTATTTTGGGTCATTCTGAGCCAGTTGTTGCACATTGTTATTGTATAGAATTTCAAACCCACATACCACAGATACATTAATTAAGAGGAATTGAGTTTTGGGGACAATTTGTGAAAAATTACAAATGTTAAATACAGAGGCCAAACATCATGATTTCTCCCCCTGATCAGTCCTGACCTGAGATTTTACTGAATACACAGAAAACATAAAGGTCATGTTCTATAGCTGTTCCCATCTAGCTCTAAATTACACATCATTCCTGGTACTTTAATTTCCCAATGTCATAATTTGTTTTACTGGTGAATGTAGTGCGTTTCCTGCCCCATTACTAAATATGATTTTCCCATAATAATTGTGCAGGAAGTTTATATTTAGCCTGTAGACATGAATCATTGGAGCATATTTTCTAGATAGAAAAGTCAAATGTATGTGGAATGTATGTTTTCTTTCCATTGTATCTTGTCGCACCTGTCCTTGATCAATATTATGTGCTTACTTACCATTGTAAAGAAGCAACATCATGGCATGTAGAGATGACAGCAGTACAGTAGTTAACACAGAATCCTCTAGGGGGAAGCAGTACTTCATTTATAGACTTCAGTTTGTCTCCAATACTTTTTCAACCTGGAGAAGGCTTGTATGTGCAGCATCAAGACCATTGGATTTGGAGCTAACACTGAGGTGTAGTGTGAGAGGTTACATTATCAAATCAATCTTTATTTATACAGCACATTTCAGACATGGAATGCAACGCAATGTGCTTCACAGGAAAAAACTAATAAAAATCTATGAAAAGAAAAACTGAAATATTTACTACACAACAAACAAGAGGATAAAAAATAAAAGAATAACACAAACTGAATGACTGAAAAGCACCCTAAGGAAATCTCTTTTAAATATCTCTACAGTTTCGGTTCTCTGGCAGGCCATTCCAGGGGCTGGGGGCATAGTAACTAAAGGCTGCCTCTCCATGCCTCTTGGTCCTAGGCTTTGGGATAGTTAAAAGGCCAGTGATAGAGAATCTGAGGGACCTACCATGTCTGACATGTATTGGGGTGCACAATCGTGGATTGATTTAAAAACCAATAGAAGAATCTTAAAATGTATTCTAAAACTCACAGGCAGCCAGTGCAGAGACCTTAAAACCGGTGTAATGTGTGCTCTCCGTCTGGTCTTGGTCAGTTGACCAATGGCTTTCTTGGGTAGACCAGACAGGAGAGCATTACAGAGAGAAACAGCCATACCTTGGCAATGTTCCTCAGGTGGTAAAAAGCTATTTTGGTCACGTTCCTAATGTGTGATTCGAAATTGAGTTCAGAATCTAAAATGACACCAAGGTTTTTAACCTGGTGTTTTATCTTTATTGCCCATGAATTAAAATGTGCGGCCAGATTCTCTCTCTGTGCTTTGGCTCCAACAATAAGTACCTCGGGCTTGTCTTGATTTAGCTGGAGGAAGTTGTGAGCCATCCAAGTATTTAAATCACTAATACAGTCTAATAATTTATCCGTGGAGCTAAAATCCTCTGGTGACACAGAAATGTAATGTTGTGTATTGTCTGCATAGTAGTGAAAATCAATGCTGTGCTTTCTGATAACGCTGCCAAGGGGTAACATACAGTGGGGGAAAAAAGTATTTAGTCAGCCACCAATTGTGCAAGTTCTCCCACTTAAGAAGATGAGAGAGGCCTGTAATTTTCATCATAGGTACACGTCAACTATGACAGACAAATTGAGATTTTTTTTCTCCAGAAAATCACATTGTAGGATTTTTAATGAATTTATTTGCAAATTATGGTGGAAAATAAGTATTTGGTCACCTACAAACATGCAAGATTTCTGGCTCTCACAGACCTGTAACTTCTTCTTTAAGAGGCTCCTCTGTCCGCCACTTGTTACCTGTATTAATGGCACCTGTTTGAACTTGTTATCAGTATAAAAGACACCTGTCCACAACCTCAAACAGTCACACTCCAAACTCCACTATGGCCAAGACCAAAGAGCTGTCAAAGGACACCAGAAACAAAATTGTAGACCTGCACCAGGCTGGGAAGACTGAATCTGCAATAGGTAAGCAGCTTGGTTTGAAGAAATCAACTGTGGGAGCAATTATTAGGAAATGGAAGACATACAAGACCACTGATAATCTCCCTCGATCTGGGGCTCCACGCAAGATCTCACCCCGTGGGGTCAAAATGATCACAAGAACGGTGAGCAAAAATCCCAGAACCACACGGGGGGACCTAGTGAATGACCTGCAGAGAGCTGGGACCAAAGTAACAAAGCCTACCATCAGTAACACACTACGCCGCCAGGGACTCAAATCCTGCAGTTCCAGACGTGTCCCCCTGCTTAAGCCAGTACATGTCCAGGCCCGTCTGAAGTTTGCTAGAGTGCATTTGGATGATCCAGAAGAGGATTGGGAGAATGTCATATGGTCAGATGAAACCAAAATAGAACTTTTTGGTAAAAACTCAACTCGTCGTGTTTGGAGGACAAAGAATGCTGAGTTGCATCCAAAGAACACCATACCTACTGTGAAGCATGGGGGTGGAAACATCATGCTTTGGGGCAGTTTTTTTGCAAAGGGACCAGGACGACTGATCCGTGTAAAGGAAAGAATGGGGCCATGTATCATGGGATTTTGAGTGAAAACCTCCTTCCATCAGCAAGGGCATTGAAGATGAAACGTGGCTGGGTCTTTCAGCATGACAATGATCCCAAACGCCCGGGCAACGAAGGAGTGGCTTCGTAAGAAGCATTTCAAGGTCCTGGAGTGGCCTAGCCAGTCTCCAGATCTCAACCAAATATTTGGTCAATAGCAAAAGTTTCTCAATACTTTGTTATATAC